TGGTAAACGATAAGCTGAATTGATGTCCTAACGATCATATAACGCGAAGGAGCTTGGGACTAAACCCACGGTCTTCTGCTCAGTAAGCAAAAACGTTTGCCACTAGGCAGACGAGCTCCTTTTTATTCACCGAGTTGCTGTTATTACCATGTAGTCATATTAACAAATAAAACGATTGACGAATCTTGAATGTGGATATGCTTGAGATTAGACTCATGATGTTCTGCTCAGTAAGCAAAAACGGTTGCTCTAAGGCCACCGAGCCCCTCATATCACATAATATCGTTGCTCAAATTTGTGTATCCATTCAAACCCGGAACCAACGACAACAACGAGTTTCGCAAAATACACGATACACAAGCGATTTTACCATAAATTTCTTTGATATGAAGGACCTGGGACCGCGTTTTTCTGCTCACTGTAACCGACGATCTTTCAAATCCGAAAACTAAAAACTACGAAAAAGTACTTAGGCCTTCATTAAGTTCCACTTTCACGCGACGTTCAATGACAGGGTCCTATCCAGGATTACATCTGAAAAATCCAAATCTGGCCAACGTCCACCTAAACCTGTTCTTATCCACCTGAAATGACTAACGAATGGAAGACTTTGACTACCCAGCCATGCAATAGTCTCATCCGTGCCTTATGGCAACTTGATGATTCTATTGCGCTCATCTTTTGGCACCACCCAGGGGAGACTTGGTCCTGTACCCAATGCTTAACTTATCTCCATTCCACTCAGCTACTCGCAATTTCTTGTGATATAGTGGGCGGAATATTATTATATGAGACAATTCAATGCAGACGTCTTTCCAAATTTGGCAGATCGACAGGTAATCGGTGAGTTACCACGATAGTTGCTATTCAACAACTCGACAACGTCCCATCATCAACGCCTGCTATGAGAATTTCCCATTGCAGACGCCAACGAAATGACGTCATGTAGCTATCGATCAACCACCCTGGATATCGCCTGGTACCTTATAGCACGATGCTAGGAGGCGAACCGGAAGAATCGATGAGCTACCTCTCCCCCCTTCAGAATTTAATTCAACATTCCCCGAAAATGTCATCCAACTTTTCTGGAAAGATTGATCTTAGTCCTAAAATTGAATGGCAAAATGGCAAAAATTTAAAATTAATAGATAAATACCGATAAATACCGATTTTTTTAAACCTTTAATACCGATAAGTTTGAAAACCATCTGGCAACGCTGCCCGGGTAGCCCATTGAGGATGAGTGATCGCATTTCGGGCTATTGCTAATCGCATATTAGCTTATTGCGTGCTCTCAACATAGTGTTCTAGATGCTCTTCCACGGTTATTAATTGAGAGCTTTCGATGCTAATACCAATGCATGAATCTGATTTGTTTTTCCATCGCTTTTGTTTGCCCAACTCGGGGGCAACTTGACATCTCCAGTATATTGCCATTGTACCTCGAAAATTTGGTGCTGGTGGTTCTGTCAAACTCACAATTTCAGAAGTGTTATCTGAATAGGGCGAATTCGGAAATGATGTACTGTAAATAAAATTGATTTATTAACAAATAAAAGTTTGAAATGCATCTTATTGTCGCACGCCCGCCAAACCGGACACGCGACGTCCGACGACAAAACTAGTATTAACGACATAGAAACTCCAGTGATCCAAGCGACTAATATCGGTTTGATTCTCAGTAGTATGTACAATACATAATCAGTTTATGAAACTTTTTTTTATTTGGTGTATCGTATGTATTTGAGCAGTACAGAACCAGCATCATATGATTTGTAATACAAAAATGAATGATTGTCATCGTCAAATTGTTTCGCTTCCTATGTCTCACGGCACAAATTTCTACTCACAACACTCTTCCCAACAAACAATTTGAGTTGATCAACAGCTGAATAAGCTATTTTTTAGCTGAAGATGCTTACGTTTGCCTGAATAAGCTCTTATTCAACATTCAATGTTTGTTGAGTTTTTGACGTTCTACTATTCACCAAGAGTGATTAAATCTATCGCTAAGTTTCTATTAAAAAGGCGTATAAAAACAATTTTGTAACTTCTTTGTGGATAGAATTCTTAATGCTTCCAAAGTTGTTAACATGTTCCTTAAGCCAGCGTTTTAAATAAAAGTCTATGCACATTACCTGAACTCCGAGAAAGGCTCTGATAAGCTTACAGATCTGTAGAAAATATCATACGGCATTCGGAAAGTTCTTAGCACTTCAGGGCAAGAACTTGAGGGAAGTTCAAATAAATTAGGAAATTTCAACGAATTTCAAGAAAATTTCAACGCATTTCATGAAAATTCCAACGGGTTTCAAGGCAATTCCAATTCATTTCAAGGAAATTCCAACGAAGTTTATAGAAATTCCGATAAATTTCAAAGAAATTCCTACGAATTTCAAGAAAAACCTACAACTGCCAAAAATTTCAAAAAAATTCCAACGAATTTCAAGAAAATTCCAATGAATTTCAAGGTAATTGCAATGAATTCAATGAAATTCTAACGTATTCAACCCAATTCACACAACTTCAAGGAAATGGCAACAATTGCAAGGAAATTTCAAGAAAATTCAAACAATTTCAAAGGAAATTCTTTCGAAATTCAAGGAAATTCCAATGAATTTCAAGGAGATTCCTATGCATTTCAAAGACATTCTTACGAATTTCTAGGAAATTCATTTCAATTTCAAGGAAATTCCAGCAGTTTAATGGAAATTCCAAAAACAATAATTTCATGGAAATTTTTCTAATTTAAAGAAAATTCCAACTAATTCAACGAAATTCCCGAGGGGGACGACTCTATCTACGATGCAAAAAAGATTGTGCTTTGCTGTGGCTAGCTGCTCGCACGCTGAGTAGATAGAAAGAAGATTGATGATGATTCTGAAGATTTCCTGCAAAAAGATGATGAGCGATGCAAGTAGATGCGACAAATTAAAGAAGATTTTTCGAAGATTGATTCGCTAGTGTCAAATTTTTTGAGCATCCTAACTTGAGAAACTCGGAAATTCCAACGAAAATCCAACGAATTTAATGAAATTCCATCAATTTAAAGGAAATTACATCAATCTCATGAAAATTCATACTTTCACTTTCAAGAAAATTCTACCGAATTTCAAATGTATTCCACAAAATTTAATACAAATTCTTACGAATTTCAGGAAAATTCGATCAAATTTTAAGGAATTTCGATTGAATTTCAAAGAAATTTTAACGATATTCAAGGAAATTCCAAATAATTTCAAGGACATTCCTAAAAATTTCACGAAAGTCCGACTAATTTTAAGAAAATTTTTATGAATCCTTCGAATTTAGAAAAAAACCCAAATGAATTCAATGAAATTCTAACATATCCAACCAAATTCCAACAATTTCAAGAACATCGCAACAAATTCAAGGAAATTTCAAAAATTGTAAGAAAATTCATACGAATTTCTAGAAAATTCCACCGAATTTCGAGGAAATTCCACAAAATTTATAGAAAATTCTTAAAAATTTCCAGAAATTCAAAGTTTCATCAAGTTTCAATGAAATTCCGACGAACTCCAAGGAAATTCATAAGAATTTTAAAAGAAATGTCAAAGAATTACAAGCAATTTCCAACGAATTTCAAGAAATTCCATTACATTGTATGGAAATTCCATCGATTTTTAAGGAGATTCCAACGAATTTAAAGGACATTTCTATGAATTTCTAGGAAACTCCAACGAATTTCAAGGAAATTTTAACGAAAATCATGGAAATTCCAACAAATTTCTAGGAAATTCCTTTAGTTTCATGAAAATTCCTACGAATTTCAAGAACATTCCTACGAATTACAAGGAAATTCCTATGAATTTAAAAAAAAGTCCTACGAATTTCAAGTAAATTCTTACGAATTTCAAGTTAATTCCTACGAATTTCAAGGAAATTGATGAGTATTTTCAGTTCAGTTTCAGAAATTTTGCATATCAGAAGAACACATACGGCCTAGGGAAAGCCTTCATCATCGCACAACTATGATCAAAAACATAATCTGAAGGCTGATTATATTCAAGAGCAAAATATATAAGAAAATGAACCTTCATCAATCGGTTTCAATTCATTTTGATTTATTTCATTTCACCACGAAAATCATAAATTCGCTCTTTTCATATAACATGCTTGCCTGTTATTTGACATCCACACATGGGGAAACAAAAAGTTGATTTCCCACAGAAAAATACCATTACGGCGGTGAAGGACAATCCCTTTGTTTACGTTGTGTGGCGACATCTACTATTTGCAAGTGGATACGTGAAACTAAGGTTATCTGTCACCTTGCCGGCGCCGGTGGTGTAGTGGTAAGCGTGACTGCTTTCTAACACCCCGATGGGTCTGGGTTCAATCCCAGCCGAGGTCGGTGGGATTTTTCTGAGGCATAAAAATCTCTGGTCACGTCTTCCTTCGGAAGGGAAGTAAAGCCGTTGGTCCCGGCCTATGTGTATGTGTGTTGAATGGGTGCGATATCCTACGCAGGTGTGGAAGCTGCCTTCCTGCACATTCGATTGCCGTCAATTGATGGCAATCGATGTCCGTCGGTGATTGGCACTAGATTGCGGAACAGAGACCGACGTTAAATAAAGGAAAGAAGAAGAAGAAGAAGAAGATCTGTCACCTTGCCAGGGACTTGTGTTTGCCGTACTGAGTACCAATGCTAGCGACGCCAGGAAGGCAGCTCCCGCACCTCGACCCTACATATCGACCCATCAACTCATGAACCGGGGACCAACGGCTTTACTACCTACTTTACTCATCAGAAATTTTATGCCAGACCCTTTGGGGTGCCGCTAGGCATGAATTTGATAATACTGATAATAGTGTACTAACTTGAGTGGAATAACCCATACGAGGCCTGTCAAAGAGCATCAATTGCTGAAGACTTGAAGTGATAAAAACAACTGTTCTTGTATATATTTTTACTTTCCATCATAATCTTTTTAATTGATTTCATCTAACTTCATTCTTTCCTTTTTCGATTGCAGAGGAAATGGACACGAGCGGAAATCGTGCGTGCATCCGCGTGAAGAACCCACCAGGTGGTAAATCGTCCGGTTTCTGGTAAACCGCAACGATCACCTAAAAGCCAATCAAAGTCATCATGAATAAGAATGCTTCCGGGGCAAGATATTTATTACCAATCAAGCAAAGCAACTACTATGATATAGAAAGAGAGCTAAGATCATGAAACCAAATTAATGATAATACTGGAACAAACTCAGAACAACTCAAACTCACCATATCTTGAGTATGGTACTCCGTAATTGTGTCAAGATATTGTTTCAACCAAATGGCAGCCTTTTAAGTGCTGCAAATCCACTAAAATGGAATTATCATATAAGATTCAAGCACGTACCGGAGCGTGCTTCTAAACCAAACCAAAATAGATCGCGTACCGTTAGGAATGTAGTTAAAACAAAAATTACAAACTACTAACTTGCACCACTCTTAACAATAGATAAACAAACACACACACCCCAAAGCGTAACTAGATGTATCTCAATCACACTACTAACTAACTAACTGTGCAACTGCTTTCGTTCTAGGGCCACTAAAAATAGGTAGCTTAACATTATTTATTACACCGCGATGACCATAATTCAACCCGAAAAAGTTGTAACAAATGATCAAATTTTCGAACAGGCTGACACATGTGCAATCCTTCTTCTAATGTTCCCCGAGTGTTATTCAGAGCTTACCTATCACACCACACACCAAAACACACGCACAACAGTATCACCATCTTCATGCACTTGCATCGAATGGGCATTTGTGTGACACTACTCTCATGGCCTTCGGAAATTACAAATTTAAAAATATTTAATTTGATGACCATAAAAGTGTACCTTTCCCAACTAGAAATAAAAATCACGTTGCGATTAAGTTTCATACCCACGTAGAATGGATAATGGCAGCGTTTTTGTCCTGGCTTAGTGAAATTTACAAACGTAATAAACCGTGTTGTAAGCGAATGTTTGAACAGCTGAAAGATTTATCCTCTATATAGGCGTTGTAAGCTTTATCTCCTGTTTGTGCGTTGTATTGTTTTAGGTTTTTTTTTTCCTTAGATTATAAATCAAAATAACACTACAAAATGCGAATGTGTATCTTAAGTTAGCTGTAGCGTGACTCTTGTAATCGTGGAATCGAAAATAAAGTACCATTATGGAATTAACAGAACGATGTGTTTTGCCTGTTTGATCGATGACGTTAACCAATTTGGAGGTTCTTCCAGCGTTTTATAGTAGAGATTGAGTATACAGTTCCGGATAACATGAGAGCGTGAGAGCACGATTGACTGCCCGCGGATGCTACTCCGGTATTGCCAGATCAGCTGTAATTACACAGATAACCAATAGACGATGCTTGGGACTAGCATTCATCCTGAATGTGTAAAAACTGGTAAACTCAAACTAGGCAATCAAGAATGGATTGGGTAGGAATGTGTTGTAGTACTTTCCACGTATGGCTTTCGGACGACGAACTTCACGCTTAGTAGGTTGATTAACGAATGTGTTTTTATTGACTTCTACTGACTTATTCTAACTTCCATTTACCTGAGATACTTGAAGCCATCATTTACTTAATTAACCAATCACCGATTATTACCTGATAGAGAGGTCCAAATTAATTGAGAGAAAGAGTTATGGTGAGAGAGCACTTAGTCAGCATTGTGACACTCCATGCTAGTTGGAAACAGCCTGCGAGTATTGACACTGTAAGTTGATACTTTTGTTTTCGCGTGATAAATTGCAACGAAAGACTTTTGCAGGGCAACGAACAATTCCAACGTGCAGATGTAATTGTTCATTGAACCTTTGGATATTGAATTTAATTTTGAAGAACGAGAACATGCATGATTTGGTGACATGTGAAAATCACATGCTACAGTGTTGACCAGGCCTGTTTTGCATCAACTTAGAGAGAGGAAAGTCAGTGATGAAAAATATTGTATTACTATCTTCGTCGATGATGCCAGATGATTTTTCCAAAAGTCTGTATGAGTCAGCGTTGCCAGATTGTTTTAAAGCTTATCGGTATCGAAGGTATTAAAAAATCGGTATTTATCGGTATTTACTATTTATTAATTTTATATTTTTGCCGTTTTTGAAAGCGAAAATTTTAACGATGGTGATGACTGGGACTTAAGGGAAATTGCTTTCGGCATTCTCAGCCTTAAAACACTCTTAATTTTTTAATTTATTTTTTTTTAAATATCGTTGTCCACAACGATCAAAATTGTGACCAAGTAGTGTTTTCAATTAAATATCATTAAATGAAACCAAAATATGGAAAATCAGCCACAACAATGACTAAACTATTGACAATAACGACAAACAATATTTTCCCTTGAAAAAAGTAGAAGGGTCTGTGCCTAGGGGCACGAACGGAAGCTTGACGTAGGACCGCTAGTTTTTTTTTCCTTTGGTTTGTTTTTTTCCGTCGATCTTGTTTTCCGTGCTGAGCACCAATGCTACCGACGTGCCAGCCAGGAAGGCAGCTCCCACACCTGGACCCTACCTATCGACCCATCAACTTCCCATCCGAAGGAAGGCGAGATCAGAGATGTTATGCCTCAGAACATCCCGGCGGCGCCGACTGGGATTGAACCCAGGCCTGCTGGGGTGAGAGGTAATCACGCCTACCACTACACCACCGGCGCCGTTAGGACCGCTAGTGGACGGAATAAATGTGAAGAGCATTCTGTTCTTTTAATTGATCAATTATCTATTATCTCAACTCTTTCCGTTTTTGAATTGTAGGCGTACCAAATTTGTAGTAATCATTTTCAAAGAGAAAGTTTACTAAGAGAATCAATCAAAATCACTTGCACCCCTGCTTCCAAGTTTGGTTACAAGATTACAACTCTGGAGAGCATTTTGTATGGTCGTTGGGGGCTTGTGGTTCTAAATATGGACAAATAAGCACAGATAAATTCTATTCCAACTCTTAACTGATGTAAGCTTGATGGCCCTGAAAAGGGCCGTTTTATTGAAGAGGACATCCATGGCCACTTACGCTTGGCGTGTTTAGTATATGTGACAGCATCACGGACCTCATTTTCCAGGAACACCTTCAGCACACCTCGTAGATCAGGCCGGAGATACGTTTGACACCACCACGGAGAGCCAGACGACCGATGGCGGTTATCTCGAAGAACTTTGACGCTTGGCGCCTCCTTTACCAGACCTTTTCCTCCTTTGCCACGACCAGTCAATTGTTGCTTGTTGTGTGTGAAGGAGTGGATTAGCCACCACCTTCCTACTGCTGCTATTGCTACTCACCACGCCGTCCGAAGCGAAAATGAGCCATATTTCTAATCGATTGGTGATAAAATTATTGAAATTGGACCAGTGGCAGCTGAGTTATTAACGTTCAAAATCTTTCTTAATTTGTTACATGTTCCATTTTCGGTTTTCACAAAGTGTACCCCCATATAGAAATCAAAGACGTAGTCGTACGTCAAAAGATCTATTTAAACGTTTCTTGTCAGTGACCGACATTTTGAAGGTGAGGCCAGACAAACTGCGCGTCACTGTTGGTAACCGCAAGCAGGCGAATGAGATGGTTCTGAATATGGACAAACAGGCAGATGAATTCTATTCCTACTATTTACTGTAATAAGCTTGGTGGCCCTGAAAAATGCCGTTTTGTTGCCAAAGTTGGTGATGATTTAACTTCCGAAACCAAACAGTCTCTGTCACTTCAAAACGTAGATGACATCCATGGCCGCTTACGCTTGGCGTGTTTAGTGTAGGTGACAGCATCACGGATCTCATTTTTCAGGAACACCTTCAGCACACCTCGTAGATCAGACCGGAGATACGTCAGACACCGCCACGGCGAGCCAGACGACGGATGGGAATTATCTTGAAGAATTTGCGTTTGGTTCTGAATATGGCGATGAGTGTGCAAAATATTACGCAATTCCATCCTACCTATTCACACGCGCCCGAGGATCGGAGGCGAATGCCACTTCGACTTATTTCGTCTACTTACTACTCTCTGACGACTGTGCTGGGGAAGCAGCATATGCATGTAGGTAATTGGTGGATTTGCTAGTTAATTCGACGCTTTTGGACAATGCTGGATACCGGTTTTTCAATAGTTTCTTGTTGAAAATCAACATTCGGAAGCATTGTTATCGATGCGTAGTCATATTTCTGATCGATTGGTGATAAAATTATTGAAATTGGACCAGGGGCAACTGAGTTATTAACGTTCAAAATCTTTCTTAATTTGTTACAAGCTCCATTTTCGGTTTTCACAAAGTGTACCCCCATATGTCTAACGCTTTTTTGAAATCCAATATGGCGGCTTCCGGTTAGAGAAAAACTGGGCAATACTGCAAAATTACCCACAATATTGGGTATTTTTGAAATCTTGGTGACGTTTAGGGACCAAAAAACCATGTCTGACGCCTTTTTGAAATATAAGATGGCGGCTTCCGGTTAGAGAAAAACTTGGAAATACTACCAAATTACCCACAATATGGGTATTCTTGGAATCGGAATGATGTGTAGGGACCGGAAATCGATGTCTAAAGCCATTTTGAATTCAAGATGGTTGCTTCCGGTTAGAGAAAAACTTAGAAATTTTCTCAAATATCGCACCATATGGGTATTTTTGGAGTTGGGGTTACGTGTAAGGGCCGGAAATCGATGTCTGCGGCCATTGTGAAATTAAACATGGCGGATTCCGGCTGGAGAAAAACTTGAAAATTAAGTCAACTTCCTCTCAATGTGTGTATTTTTGGAATCTTAGTGAAGTGTAAGGACTGGAAACCCATGTCTGATACCATTTTGAATTCCATATGCCAGCTTTTGGTTGGAGAAAAGCTGGGAACTACTGCCAAATTATCCACATTATGGGTATTTTTGGAGTCTTGATGACGTGTAGGGACCGAACATCGATGTCTGGCGTTTTGAAATTCAAGATGGCTGCTTACGGCAAGAGAAAAACTTGTAAATTCTCTCAAATACCTCACAATATTTGTATTTTTAGAGTCGGATTGACGTGTAAGGACCTAAAATCGATGTCTGCGGCCATTTTAAAATTAAAGATGGCGGCTTCCAGGTAGAGAAAAAATTGGAAATTTTGTCAAATACCCCTTATCTAGGGGTATTTTTGGAATCGGGGTGACGACCAGAAATCCATGCCTGGCGCCATTTTGATATCCAAGATAACGGCTTCCGTTTAAATAAAACTGGGATATTGTCAAATACACCACATGATGAGTATTTTAGGAATCTTGGTGACGTGTAGGAACCGTAAACTAATGCCTTTTTATCCTTCTTACAAAGAAGGGTATAGATATCACTTGAAAAACCGACTATCGATCCGAGGCCCGGAGGGCCGAGTGTCATATACCATGCGACTCAGCTCGACGAGATCGGAACATGTCTGTGTGTGTGTGTGTGTATGTATGTATGTGTGTATGTGTGTGTGTATGTAACGAAATGAATGCGCTCACGTTTCTCAGCAACCGCTCAACCGATTTGGACAAACTCGGCGCCAAATGATAGGTCTTGGGGTCCTTGAACGCTATTGAATGGTTTTGGAATCGATGAACCGGTTCCGGAGATATGGCCGGAATAAGATCCGGTGAATATGGGCCTTCACGCTGGATTTAACGGAAAACGTATTAAAACCATCATGCGACACATCAAATTACTACAGAATTCAAAAATAAGATCAATGCAAGTCGTGTTAAGTGTTCCAGACCACATTGGACACACTTGGACATGTTCCGGGTACCCCGGGGAAGTTGCTTGAATATGAATTGAATTAAAACCCATTAAATCACATTAAAATACGATGATAAGGTGATTGGTAGCCTCACCAAATAGACTACACCCGGATATATTCCGGGTACCCCCAGGCAGTGGCGTAGCGTCACTGGATGACACGGGGGTGGGGGGCTTGGTCACTGATAATAACAATAAAATAAAGTAAGAAGGGTCTTATCACACCATAGGTGGATAAATTCGGGTTTTTATATTCAAGATGGTGGCTTCCAGTTACAGGAAAATTGAAATGCATGGCTGACGACATTTTGAATTCAATATGGTGGCTTTCTGTTAGCAAAAAACTTGGAAATTCTGTCCAATATGGGTATTTTTGGAATTGGAGTGACGTGTATGGACGGAAAACTCGCCTGTATTTTTCTATTTTTCTGT